CGCCGTGCCGTGCCGGTGCGGTGCCGGTGCCGGTGCCGGTGCGGGCGGGATCGCTCGGGGGCGCGAGCCCGGCGCCAGCAGTCAAGATGGAGCCGGGCCGAGGCTTCGTCGGGGGGGAGCGGCCCTGACGCGAGTGCAGCAGCGTCAGTGATTTGCTGGCCCGCCAGCACAGCGGCGCCGGGGAGGATGAGAGCGGGCACTGCGAACTGCCCGCGCCCGCCGCTGCTCCGGCGCTGAGCTCGGCGCCCGCCCGCAACTTCCCCGCACCTGGGGGCAGCCCTCGCCTCGCCGCCAAACTTGGAGCCGCCCGGATCCTAACGGGCTCCTCTCTCTCTCTCTCTGCCCCTGCCCCGCTTCCCCAGGCAGCCCGGGGGACAGACACCCTCATGACTGATTCTCCGGAGCACCATGGATCTCACTAAGATGGGCACGATCCAGCTGCAGAACCCCAGCCACCCCACGGGGCTGCTGCACAAAGCCAACCAGATGCGGCTGGCGGGGACCCTGTGCGACGTGGTCATCATGGTGGACAACCAGGAGTTCCACGCCCACCGCACCGTGCTGGCTTGCACCAGCAAGATGTTCGAGATCCTCTTCCACCGCAACAGCCAGCATTACACCCTGGACTTTCTTTCGCCAAAGACTTTCCAGCAGATCCTGGAGTACGCCTACACGGCCACCCTCCAGGCCAAAGTGGAGGACCTGGACGACCTGCTGTACGCGGCGGAGATCCTCGAGATCGAGTACCTGGAGGAGCAGTGTCTGAAGATCCTGGAGACCATCCAGGCCTCCGACGACAACGACGCAGAAGTCAGCATGGCGGACGGCGGCGCCGAGGAGGAGGAGGATCGGAAATCCAGGTACATCAAGAACCTGTTCATCTCCAAGCATTCCAGCGAAGAGAGCGGCTACGCCAGCTTGGCCGGCCACAGCTTGACGGGGGTGATGGTGGAGCAGAGCCCGTCTGTCTCCACGTCCTTCGGGCTCTCCGCCATGAGCCCCACCAAGGCGGCCGTGGACAGCTTGATGACCATCGGACAGTCGCTGCTGCAAGGGGCTTTGCAGCACACCCCCTCCGAGGACTTGCACTCGGTCGGCGGCCGCCACCCCAGCCTCTCCGAAGTGAAAACAGAAGCGATGCAAATCGAGGAAGCCTCCAGCCACGAAAGCCCCCGGACGGCAGAGTCCAGCACTTCTGGCGGGGACAAGCCCGACGACAAGAGCAAGGACGGGCCCGGGACCCCGACCCGTAGCAGTGTTATCACAAGTGCCCGCGAACTGCACTATGTCCGCGACGAGAACGCGGAGCAGCCCCCCGAGGCGGGCCAGGGAGCGCCGCTTGGCGGGGAGCAGTCGGTTTCTCAGGGCGAGAAGCCCCTGAGCGTCTATTCTGTGCTACCAAATCACAAAACTGACTCTGTGCTCGGCGTGCCGCCCTCCATGACTTCTGCCCTGCACGTGCAGCCGGCTCTCGCCGTGTCCATGGACTTCAGTGCTTACGGGGGCCTTCTGCCCCAAGGCTTTATCCAGAGGGAACTGTTCAGCAAGCTCGGCGAGCTGGCAGCCGGCATGAAAACTGAGAGCCGAGCCGTCGGGGAGCAGTGCAGCGTGTGCGGGGCAGAGCTGCCGGACAACGAGACGGTCGAGCAACACAGGTGAGTCTTCCCGCTGCATCCTCCTCGACGTGGCGTCCTGTCACGACTGGCAATTTTCTCTCTTTTCCACCCCCCAGTTTCTGTTGCACAATCCAAGGGCTTTTTTGGGGGGGGTGGTTTTGTGTTTGTGAGTGGGTTTTGTGCTGGAGGGTTGCGGCCTGTGTCATGGAAGACAGATCCCCTGTGGATGCGATTCGCCCTTGTGCAGAGAGGGCTGGTGCAAAACCCGTGTGTCGTGTTGTTCCCCGCTACGGTCGTCAAACATGGGACCGCGTGTGCTGCCCAGGCGTTTTGCCGGCCCTCTCCACTGCACCGTATGTTTGCAACAGGCAACGATTTGGCAGTGGCACCGCGTGTTAGGCAGGGAATGGCCTGACAAAGGATTGTGATGTTGCTCATTTGCTAAGAGTTGGTCCAGGCTCCCCACCAGCTTCCCAGGCTGATGCTGCCTGGGAGCGTGGCTAGTGCCGTTTCGTGCCAAATCCGAATTTGCCCCAGGTATCTCTCTCCTTCCCGCTTCTAGTGCCTGCTTCTTTAGGCAGATGCGTGGTCAGACACTCAGCGGTCGGTCTGCTTGCTGTCCTAGGGACTTAGCCTGGGCATCTGGCTGCAGATTGGGGTGTGTGCGTGTGTACGCACACTGTTATTTTTGGGTGAGACCTCTGTGGCTCTTTGCATCTTGCTTAGTCGGCTTTGGGATGTTTCTTGCTGTGCCTCCTGGATCTGTGCTCTGACTCCAGGCCAGTCTGGTGCTGCTGCTCCTCTCCCCGGGAGCAACCTCTTGGGCAATGTTTAATCTCCGGGTTCTGGACCGAACGCTCCAGAGCCCAGCTCTGAGTCCAGCCACGCAGAGGACGCATGCTGAACTCAGTGGAGTTGCTCTTAGGTTCAGGTCCATTTTGAAGGAGGTTAGAGTTTCACCTTCGCTTGAGATTTGTCTCGTGGGTGTGGTCGGGGGGCTTCTCGGGAGCCAGCCGGGGCCCAGTCAAGTGCATTCATCTGCCCTGAGAAACGCTGGAGCTTGCTGTGCTCGCTTAAGTGGGGCCTGCTGGGGCAGTAAAGAGGTCCGATTGTGAGCATCCATCTGCGGGGTCAGGGCTGTGCCTGCTGGGAGCAGTAAGAATGGGGACCCAGCTGAATTTGGGGGCAGTAATCACAGACCAGCCGGCCTTAGGCTACGCTGCGAATGCAAGCCCTTATGCCTCCTGCACTCCAGGGAGAGCATGGCATGCTCAGTAACAGGGACGCGGTGGCCACACTGTTCATGGGGGGTGGGCATGCGAATGGGTTCAAGGAGCTCGCCCCGTAGGACATCAGAGGAAGAAGGCCAGTTTGGGCTCCTGCTCCTGGAATTCAAATGAAGAGCGCAGGAAATCTGGGAGCTTCTCTGGAGTATTCAAACCAAACATCTTTCAGTATTTTAATGAACCAACAAGTTTAATTAGTTCTAAGGTACATGATAGCCACACGAGGCTCTGCCTGTGCATATATTGTTGCCTTGCTGATAGGGCAGGAGAGCCGCTCTGCCCCTGGCTCTTGTTGTTGTTGTGTTTAGAGCTTGCCCTCGGTAAATGAGGCAGGATTTATCCGCAGCTCATGTGGGGCCTCCGAACAACAATCCTCTATTCAACCTGTTACATTTTAAGTGCAGACTGGCAGCCTTGACTCCGGGGTTTGCATCCTTGTGCGGGCTTGCGAGACACTTCTAACATAACGTCTTAGTGTGGCTTGGGATTTTAATATGCGAGCGTGTGCTGCAATACACGCGGCATTTAAGCAAATAGGTGGGAGTACTGGCCCGGGTACTGAGAGGACACGAGCAGAACTTCCTGGAGAATCGATGGGAATTGCACTTCTCTTCTCTTACAGAAAATCAAAAAATAAGTACCTCGGACCAGATCCTCAGCGGGTGTAAGCAGGAGCTCAAGCGTTGCTGACTTGCATCAGCTGAGGGTCTGGCATTGTTTGCTTGCTATAAAATGATGCAGGCTGGACACCATTGACCGGGAGCTGAGATGAAGGCGCAGGGAGAATTTTAACGTGGCTGTCTGCCGTGCACTCAGACACTGCCTCTTCTCCCTCCTGAAACACAAAGACTAACAATTGATGCTCCTGCCCACACCGCAGGAACTATTTTAGAAACTCTGCAAGAGGACAACTTGGCAGGGATTAAATTGGGAACTTTAATGCAGAGCCTGTTCTAGAGTTCCCATTGCTGATCAATAGCCTTCCATCCAAACCAGGGCTCAGCGGAAAGTTAAACCCACCCAAATTCACAGAGATGATTAGGAGGGCCTTTGTGAGTGACTGCATGCTATGAATAAGAGGGCACATATTTTGAACCAGCTTTCTGCATGGTGAGATGGGCTTTATTCCATTTAGACAGCAGTTGCTAGGGTTGCAGCCTTTATTTTTAAATTATTTATATTTGCAATGCACTCCAGTATGTTATGTACAATAATGAGGTCTCGGGTCTAGCCTAAGCTCCAAGTTGAACAACTTAAACGATGTCGTTTTTAAGCGAACTGAGTTAAACGGATACCAAAGCTCGTGCGGAGGTTCTTAATTTGATTTCAACTTTGTTTACACCTGCTAGCTGCATTGGTTCGTTTATCGGTGCAAGATAAATGCATATACGCAATCGTCAGCCAGCTTGGGCACGCTTCACTAAATAACGTGAACCCATACTTCTAAACCAGTGCATCAGGTGTGTAGACATGTTGCCATGAGACCTTGCTATAATCTTTGCTGCCAAAGAAATGGGGAAATCTTGGTATTTTGCAGAGGGGTTATTTAGGAAGCTATCGCATAGCATCCCCAGTGAGAATTTTGCCACCTGTCATCTGTCCGTGGAAGCGGGTTAACCAGTGCTGGCAAGACTGGAAGTTTATTTGTGCAGGGCTGAGGTTTCTTGCCACCGAGCTCATCTCCCTGTGCTCAGAGCAGGCTTAGAAGGGTCAATCCCTAAAAGACCTGCTCACTTACTGGACTGGAAGAAGATAGCAGCTTCTGGTTTTTCTAGGGCTAGCAACTCTCCTTGTGCTAATGGCAGCTCTCCCAGTGAGTTGGGATCAGCTTCAGACTTAGTCTGAGGAAGTCATCTCACTGAAGGGCAGAGGTCCACCAAAGTCACTGGCAGAGCTTCCAAGATTTGCTGCTCCTCTTCCTTGAAGTCAATGGGATGCTTGCTGTTGACTGCTCAGTGGGAGCAAGGTTTGTCTCGTGAGGAGTAGGGCTTGGTGGTGCTGAAGTGGCTGCACTATAGCGGTTTGCTCCCTGCTTCCAGCACTCGCATGTGTTTTGGTTTTGTTTTCTAAACTTGATGCGAACACCGAGATGTCAAATGCAGGTTCATTTTTAGCTCGGGCAGGAGCTCTAAATAAATGTCAGTGGCTTCTTCTGTTCCCTCCCACCTCCTCTTTGGTGGGGTGTCTTTCCTCCCGGCTCTGTTTTGGACAGGGCCTCACCTTGAGCATGAAGGGGTCGTCTGCATCATTTTTGGTTAGCGAGTATTTCCGTCTGCCCCTGCTGCATTTGTGAATCGGAACTGAGGTCTTTTAGGTGGTCAAGAAAGCACGTCGCTGCGTGTGGCAGGAGCAGCTACGCTTGGGGATGACAATATCTGTTTGGGGAGAATTACTTTGCTTTTGGTTTTGCAGGCTCTGGATGGCCTGATCGCCAAATAGTATGGTCAGGATTGCTGTCGAGATGTTGCTAGTCTGCTGCTGATGGGAACTAGTAGGATTTTGAGGTTTGTAACACAGTTTAAAGAGAATAACATGGGTGCAAAGCAAAACTCACCCTGGCTGATTTCAATTTTTTAAATTTATACGAGGAAAACACTTAAAGGCTTTCTCCAGATCATGCCCCCACTTTGATGGGTCCTGGACAAACACACAGTAAAAAGCAGCCCCGACTTGGAAGGGTTCACAACTGAGTTGCCCAGACAGATAAAGAAAAAGTAAGTGTTGCGAGCCTGATTTTTTTTTAATTTTTTTTATTATTATTATTATTTATTTTTTACTATGAGAAACAAGGCACCGAAGGAGCAACTTGCTCAAGGTCAGATCAAGGGTGTGGGGGGGTTGAATGCAGATCTGAGACCCTGCTTAAAGACTGAGTCACAACGGCCATCCGTGGTCTCCTGATGCATCATTGTAAGATATTTCATAATATAGTTGTCTCAAAACCGACTCATTTTGACCTTTTGGGAGCTGCATGAGTACAGGCCTCTCTGTTTACTTGGGTCCTGGTTTGGAGTCCCGGCTGAACTACCAGGCTTGAGAACTTATAGGCTGCTTTACGATCGGTTTGGTGTTTTTTTTTTTTCTTCTTCACTGATCTTATGATTTTGACTAATTGAGTGTGTATTGAGTTGTGGCTCTTTATTCTGTTTTTTATAAAAGATTTCCTTCTAGGTTCAGTAAAGTTCAAACTTAATCTAATGTTGGTATTGATTGTAGCTTCTAATTGCAGGGGGAAAAAAGCTAGAGTTCAACATTTTTTTTTATTTGGACTGGGGAGAAAACACTCATGAATTTTGAAAACGCTATTATACTAAACTGCTGAAATGAACTCCTTTTTAAATTTTTTATCACAAAACCAAACCATTTAAAACTTGTTCTTCTTAGCGGCTTGATTTTTGTATTCAAAATTAGATTTCTTTAAACAGTGGGGCAATACAGGTGTAGCTTGGATCTATCAACTTGATTATTTGAGAAGTATTCCCTTCCCACCTTTGTGTCTTTTTCTGGGAGGTTGCATGCTTTTTTTCCTTCCCCCAGTTTCCCATTTTGCAAACATTTAGGCACGTGCTTAACCTGTCAGTTCGAGAGGACTGCTCAGGTACAGGGGGTCAGAGGGATGGGGCTTATTTGATTGTTACCCAACAAAACACGACCCTGATCGTTACTGGGAATCTTAACGATTACTTTAAGTTATTGTAGTATTTTATGCACGTTGTGGTGTTGTGGAGCTCTTTGTGTGAAGGAGCGCTGTGA